CTGCATCGTCTAGGGCGCGTGGTACCGCAATTACAGGGTCACCTGTCAAGATACCAATACCGTGCGCCTGTGTCAGAGCGTCATTGATAGCAGGTGTAGCTCCATTAACTGCTATTGCGTTTCCTCCCGATTTGATTAGTTGATGGAGGTTCTTGGCGGCTTGCTTGGATAAGCATTTGATCATCCGGGACTCGTCCACGGTATTACTGTCGTCGTCGTCTAGCACTGCCAGTGGCGAGACGTTCAGCAATATGGAAGCCTCACGGATAAGGGTGCTTGCTTTCCGCCGGATTGCAACAACAATATCCGACTGCTCTTCTTTACCGGGGTGTAGATGTTCATTGCGCAAATTCAGAGCGGCAGAAGCCTTGTATGTCTGAAAAGAGCCAAGGCAGTCTTGAAAGTTGCCATGATAGCGGGGGCCAAGGTTGTAGAAGACGGCAACCATATCATCGCTATAAGCCTCCTCGAAAAGGATTGCACTGGCCAGAGACCATCGTGACATGGACACCCCCTTCCCCAGCCTCATAGCCAGGTCCTGAGGTGTGCCAAAGAATGCTTGGACCCGAGCAGATCGATTGGGAGCGCTTGCAGCGGGCATACATGGATATTCTATCTTCAGCTGCTCGACAAATTCGCCATCTATGAACAATGAGGCGCGGGAGTACGACGGAGGTCTGGGCTTCTTGTGGACAACACAAATATGATACCATCGACCAGGTTCGAAAACCATAGATTTGAATCGGACACTGGGGCGCGACCCCCGTATCGAGGTCTGCAATATGAAGTTCCGGGTATCTTTCTCAAGATATGCAAGTAGGAAACATGTCTGACTAGGGTCGAACGCCCCAAATATTGTCGTATGTGTGTTTGAATCAAATTCGTCGAAGCGCGCCCAAACTGAGAGTGTGTATCCAGAGGAAGTTGCTGGGGGGAATGAGCGCCCCAGAGTAGAAAACTCTAAGGAACAATATCCGTGCAGGGAGAGATCGAATTGTATGGATGCGGGTTCCTTGGAGGCCTTCAGAACATCGACCAGCAAGCGCGAGACCTTTGGGCAACTGTGGGCTTTTTGGTAGAGGAAGACTGCATCCTCCAGATTGCTTATCCCTTGGGTACAGAGCTGCCGCGCGAGCTCCCGGTATAATAGCTTTTCCTGTTCCAGACGCTCATCGCTGACCAGAAGCGGAAGAATCCACGATAACACACCTGTAGCATGCAATGTGGTAATGTTTCTCTGGGAATGCATAGCAAGTTGACAAAGGCATGCCGGTACAGCTAACCGGAGGATACGATGATCAGACGTTGAAGCCGAAGTCCGGGACAACCATACTCGAACGAAAGGCCCCAAGATATCTGCTACCTCGATGGTCTCTGAGGTTCCTACGCATCGATCAACCTCCGCTTTGAGGTCACTGGGAAGTAGCACAGGGGCCGATCGAAATCTGGAGTCCAACGTTGTGAATATACTGGCAGCGGTTTCCTGGCAAAGAATCGCTGCCAGGATCCCACCATAGAATTGTTCTATGTCTCCCTGCACGCAGTCCACCTTCTGGGCTAGGAGTGCAAGAGCTTCCTCTAAAGCCGCACTCCCTCCTCCGGGTACCCGAGCCGCAAAATATCTCTTATTCCCGCGATGATCCTTTAACGCCTCTGCCAGAACCGCCAATGTATCCTTGAAAAGGGCCAAGAGACATTTTCTCTCTTCCTTGGCTAATCGATCCGGGGCATAGCATTCTGTGACTTTCCGAAGCAGATCCAGCAGCGTCTGAAAGCCATGTAGATGTCGAAAGTCCTCTTTCGCTTCACGAGGGTGGTCATTGTCGATAAAGGTATGACGAAGCCGGAGTAGGCACTCGGTTGCTGTCGCAGCTAGTGAGGGGTCGATGTCATGTTCACCGCAGATGGTCTTTAGCTTCTCAACGACGGGAGTCAGTTCAACGGCGGGCTGATCGATCGACGAAGAAGGGGACGGCGAGCGAAGGGAGGTGGCCTGGTTCATCGCGCCGCTAAGTCTTATCCCCGGCTACCTATCTGACGGCAAGCGACCATCAGACACCATGAACCTGCACTTGGCGTAATAATGGAGACGGTCTGCATTGGTGGATGTGATGGGTTGGGAGCTTAACGGACGGAATCAATCCACGCACAGTTGTCTGACATGAACCAGCCAAAGTGGGAGGAGGAGGGGAAGCAAGGATAGTGCACTCCAAAGGATCAGCAATTGTGTGTCGGCGAGGGTTTGAAGGAGCGAGAGTCCCGGTCAAGATCCACCATAGAGGGCTAGGAAATTCCCAGAAGACGCACGGAGTCTTAAGCCGCACGTAGTGCTCTTTCCGCACTTGAGGAAAAGAATGTTTCGAGTCCGATGAGATAGTCCTACGCCAACGTCACTGGCGGCGGTGGTACCAAACCATCGTTAGCGGGGGGGGAGGGTACGGGATTGTTTCGGGGGGCGGCACAGTTCAGTTCAGTTCAGCTCAGTTCAGATTGTTCTGAGTCGACGGGCGCGACTTGCTTTCCCGCCGAGTGCAATTGGACAGTGACGGAATGGCCTTCTGTGCTGGGCAAGTGGGCAGTGCTGCTCTAACTTTCTCGCTCCCTCACCCGACCGGAAGGCGGGCGGCTGATTAGCTTGTCGCGCTCTTCGGCTGGACCGGGCCATTGTCATATTTTAGCCCCACAACTACTAGACTTGGTGCCAGAGTGCTTAAGTAGGAATTGGCTTTCTCATGAGTTCGATGTTAATAACTAGTAGTCCGATTGAACGCTGCTTTTAGAATAGGGCAAGTAGACACGATAATATTTTCACTATCTTTTGGTGGCTTGATTTTTGGCGATCAAACGTCATCTCAACTGATACCCGCAGTGTTTCATTATATATAAGTATAGTTAACATTCCCCATCTCCCACCTGGTGAAGTGGCAGTAGTAGTAGGACTAGTGATTCTACTGCCTGGTATGATGCTCTGAAGACGGTGATAAGTAGTAAGTATATCTTTACTAGCTGCTATTAACTGGTTGCAGACAGACAGAACCCAGAGCCTACTACTACTCTAGTAGGTTAAGGAACTGATGTCCAACTAAATGATCATTCACCAGTTTACTGCTGTCGGTGTAAATCTCAGGTTTGCATCAACATCTCGAATATGATCGTATATATATCTCAGAACTGCCGGTACTACGTTGCACAATACCATCCAATGTCATTGCACATTAAGTCATGGATGAGTGTCATTCAAAGAGGGGTACTACTAGTACCACTGTATATGTGCGCAATACTATTAACTATGATGTGAGGACGGAAGTCTTAGAGCGCGTGCTGATAGATCTATATAATGTCGATACTTCAGTCTTCCGTGTGCACCATACCTTCGGAAGCCAAGAACACCATTCTGAATTATTGCAGCTATTCACCATACCCTGGGCAGTTGAAAGACTATAGCGTGGACACTTCGATGATCGACTGTCTAAAGTTCATGTTCATACTACATAGCTTGCCTTGATTACCACGTGCTCCTTCCGCATAGAGCAAGCAAAAGAACAAAGAGACTTCAGTCTTAGCAATCACAAAGCAGTCGTTGACCGAACCTAGGCCCACAGCTGGACGATGTCAATCTTTTGTGTACTAGCAAAATCGCGGCAAGTAGTGACTAGTGGAACAAAGGCTATGACTTCTTCTGCTTACCACCAGCACCTCTGCCTAAACTTATGGGACGAGATAGCAGGGAACCCTCAAGCTCATTGCCAATCATTCGATCACGACCTATGTATGCACAGTTGATTTTTGAACAAATGAGCCTCAGCCAATCCGTTTCTGCCTCAAATAATGGTTGTTCTAGTGGCGACATGACGCACATAAGCAACAAAAAGCAATAATCACATTAAAAGACAACGGAAAAAGCAAGGCAGCTTGAAAAGTTTCCTGAGTATATCGTACGCTTGGAACGAGCCCACACGAATGAACTTGCCCACTCTTTGTCTCATATACAGATTTTCAATCACATACTTGAATCTGACCGCTGAACTGCTAGCCGGGCAGATGCATGAGACAACGCCACTCTGGTGACACTGGAATCAGACACAATGCCTACGGAGTACACCGAGATTGCTTTTGCAGCCGGATCTATCCATTTGCTGCCCTTCTTGCTCGGCGTATATATGTATGCCGTGCAGTCAAACACCGCGCGGTGATTCTTGTGGAACAACTGCCGATTCTTCATATGAACAAGGGTGGACCGAGATTATCCATGATTATTGAGTTTTTCCAGCACCGAAGAATGTCATTAGTCCTTGAAATGAGAGCCGAAACGATGCCACTTGAACCTTCACAAGTATGACGAAGACTACTAACCTACAGTAAGCCCAAGACTCCTATCGGAGAGGCCGATATCGCAGGTCCGATGTCCACTTACCTACCAAACTGGGCGATATGTCTTCCAAGTCATGTCTATATCCAACGTCTATTTACTACAAGGAAAAGGAAGTCAAACCGAGGTGAGCAAGCCACTGAACGTCGTCAGCTTGACACCGCCTGTTGATATAGAGTTGATGATCGGCGTTCAACCAAGACAAATCTCACATATACAGATGAAGTGGCGTGTAGGAAGTTCCATAAAATTAGGTAGTTAACCGGGTCTTCTCCATCGCGTCCATGGAGCACTTCTAAGCCAACCTCGGTAAGCGCCAGGCGACAAAGATGATCATCGGATGAAAGAGCATGATTGGCCCGATGGCTGCCTTGATAAGAGGGCGCCTTATCTAACGGAGCTCTGAAAGGCGCCGTAATGTATTCGGGCGGGCGGTAATCCCTGGTATCAATTACCGTCCCTAGGACTTACCTAACCACCTACGCAACCGATCTTTCCTGGTTCAGGAGGAGTCAGCCGAGCAAACCCATGGTTGGCTTGAGCACGCGACTCGGCGTTGCCTGGGGACCGACCACGCTGCTCTGTGGCAGGTTAACATACCAGGTACCTGCAGTACAATGTCACTAGGTATACCAGTCATCAAAGGGGAGCTCCTATACATGTATGCAGGGTCATTTGATTCGCGAAAAAAAGAGCTATCCCATGCTAGTTGCGGAGGATGCGGGAAGCTCTTTTCCGTGTTTAAGGCTGGGTATCCATGGCATACGGTCGGTAAGTAGCATTGGCTACTTACATGAAGAGATAGGGAGGGACCTATAGCTACGCACTTCTTCATCGGGAAACGCCCTACTCCTTTGACTAACGAACTAGTTTGCTAGGTTCATTGAGTCACCGCCATAGGTCTTGCTTTATAAGGTACATTTACAACTGCCATACTTCAACAATACCGCAGGAAATGCAGGCTGCGCCCTAGTCGCCTCATTATTTTGAAGCAGGATCCGGTCCCTTATCGCCTGCGGGTACCTTGTAGTCTCCTGCTTACGTAGCGACATAGAAAACTGTACCCGTTTTCCGTAGTATTGCCCGCATGTTGTGAAGTGGTAGCAATGGTTCTCGGGCCCTAGGTACTCAACTTCCGGGAACACGCTACAATCTGTCAGTCCAACTGGAAGAGGGGGGCGGCAAACTGCCAAGGGGAAGAGGACCCGAATATGGGTGCATAGCGCCAACCTGGATCCATCCATTCACTCAGCTTTCCTTGTCGGTGGACTGTCGAGTCTACCCCAGGTCCCAGTTTCTCCGACCGCGCTAATCGGGGGCGATCGACAACCAGTGATTCTGCTGTGTCATCCGGGCGTATGGCGTAAATTACCGTATGCCGGTTGCATCATCACCTGCTGCCCTTGCCTCTTGCTGAATACCGTCCGCCATCCATCTGTCCTCCTCTCCCTCTCTCTTCATTTCCAACCTCCCCTTCCTCCTCCCTCCCTCCCTCTCTTCCATCTTTATCTTGCCTATTTCCATCCTTCTCATCTCTCAGTTGTTTCAATCTCTTGTACACACCCTACTCACTCTCCTTCTTACCGGGCTGCTGTGGGTTCCGTCTTAAGCTATCCATCATGAAGGGCATCCTCGGCCTTTCCCTCCTCCCGTTGCTGACGGCTGCGTCGCCCGTCTTCGTTGACTCCATCCATAATGAAGCTGCCCCCATCTTGTCTGCTACCAACGCGAAGGAGGTTCCCGACTCCTACATCGTCGTTTTTAAGAAGCACGTCACTTCAGAGCTGGCTTCGGCTCACCACAGCTGGGTGCAGGACATCCATGACTCTCAGAGCGAGCGGACTGAGCTGAAGAAGCGGTCGCTCTTCGGCCTTGGGGACGAGGTCTATCTGGGTCTCAAGAACACCTTTGACATTGCTGGTTCTCTGATCGGTTACTCTGGTCACTTCCACGAGGATGTCATCGAGCAAGTCCGCAGACACCCCGATGTGAGTTACACCCCCTATCTAAGCATCCCTCGTTATCTCTAAGATAAGCTCCTAACATCGGTCAATGTAGGTCGAATACATCGAGCGGGATTCCGAAGTTCACACCATGGAAGGGGCCACTGAAAAGAACGCCCCTTGGGGTCTGGCTCGTATCTCTCACCGTGATAGCCTGACCTTCGGTAACTTCAACAAGTACCTGTATGCCTCCGAGGGAGGTGAGGGCGTTGACGCCTACACCATTGACACGGGTATCAACGTTGACCACGTTGACTTCGAGGGCCGTGCCACTTGGGGCAAGACGATCCCTACCAACGATGAAGATCTCGATGGCAATGGTCACGGAACTCACTGCTCCGGAACCATGGCTGGTAAGAAGTACGGTGTTGCCAAGAAGGCCAACCTCTATGCTGTCAAGGTCCTCCGGTCGAGCGGCTCTGGCACCATGTCTGATGTCGTTTCTGGTGTCGAGTATGCCGTCCAGGCTCATATCAAGAAGGCCAAGGATGCCAAGAACGGCAAGGTCAAGGGATTCAAGGGCAGCGTTGCCAACATGAGTCTCGGTGGTGGCAAGTCTAAGACCCTCGAGGATGCTGTTAACGCTGGTGTTGAGGCTGGTCTTCACTTCGCCGTTGCCGCCGGTAATGACAATGCTGATGCTTGCAACTACTCCCCTGCTGCTGCCGAGAAGGCCATCACCGTTGGTGCCTCGACACTTGCTGATGAGCGTGCGTACTTCTCCAACTACGGAGAGTGCACTGACATCTTCGCTCCTGGTCTCAACATCCTGTCCACCTGGATTGGCAGCAACTACGCCACCAACATCATCTCTGGCACTTCTATGGCCTCTCCTCACATTGCTGGCCTGCTGGCCTACTTTGTCTCCCTCCAGCCCTCCTCGGACTCTGCATTCGCTGTTGAGGAGCTTACTCCTGCTAAGCTGAAGAAGGACATCATCGCCATCGCCACCGAGGGCGCTCTCACTGACATTCCCTCCAACACCCCCAACGTAAGTCATGCCGCTGTTGGTATTTATAAGAGAAACGAGCTAACTCAGAAATTCAGCTTCTTGCCTGGAACGGTGGTGGTTCCGAGAACTACACCGACATCGTTGGCAGCGGTGGCTACAAGGTCTCCTCTGCCAAGAACCGCATCGAGGACCGTATTGAGGGTCTCGTTCACAAGGCCGAAGAGCTGCTCACCGAGGAGCTTGGTGCCATCTACAGCGAGATCCAGGATGCCGTCGTCGCATAGATCAGAACTCGTGCTTTCCAGACGTAGATCGGAAGACTTGGTTTTTTTTTGAGGTATGGGATGGTTGATCGGACATTTTGGCGCTGGTCTCTTTTTATTGTGTTTGGTCTCGAAGACGCTGATGCATTGACTGTATCGGCTGTATCACTCCGCCCCTGCTTATCTGTTTGGTTCATCTTTATGGTAGTATACATGTCTGCAAAGAAGGTTTTGTTACCTCACTTAGAATGTTCTGGTTCTATAACAGACTGACAATCTGACTGGGTTATCTAAGAGATCTGACAAACGCTTGGTAGAAGAGAAAGGTGAGGGAGTAGACATCATCAGTCTAAACCCACATTACGACATGCCGTAATAGATGAGAGCACCGGATGCTAGCCTTTGTAGACTACTATATCCACGCACCACAGAGGAGATAACCCCTAGGAAAGGTAATCTCCATGTTATGCCCACCTATTCTCTCTATCTCTTACTGAGATACAATCAATCCCATGACGAACAACTAATGACATCATCGGTCACGATACGCGGTCATGCCGAAACGAAGCCGAAGTACTACTCCTAAGAATAGCCACAACAGTGCATACGTTCATTCATTCAGGAAACGGAAATACATGAGGAAGAATATTGATATATCTTGATGGGCTTCATATAGAATAGACAGATATTTAATAGTTGTCAAAGTATACAAAAAGACCCCATGCATGCTAACAGATAAAGCAAAGGATCTCATATTGATTGACTGTGCTGTATACCACCTCTTAATGCAGCGCCTGCGCTATGCCACGATGAAATATAAAGGGGAAAAAAAGTCATGTAAGTAGTAAGTAGAAACTCCAAGCGCCAAATATATAGATAGTAACAGGGGTGGCGACATGATTTGGCTTTTATACTTGATAGGTTGAACAGATCAAGTGGCCCTGTGCTCGTCTTCCTCCTCATCACTGCCGGAATCTTGGTCTTCGTCATCGTCATCGACATCAAGGTCCTCGTCGGAGTCGCTACCGCCGAAGACGTCGTCGTCCACATCGCTCTCGGCCCAGAAGTCGGAGTCGTCCTTCTCCACAGGTTTGGAGACTGTCGTGGTGGATTCGTGAGTCGGCATGACGAATCCCTCGGGAATGTCGTTCTTCGAATCCTCCACGTGCTGTTTCACGATCGATTTGTATTCGTCGGGGCTCTTGCGCAACATGACCGAGGCGTCGACGTTGGCGGGGGAAGAGATCTCGGCGTCGTCGAGGAGGGAGAGGATGGAGATGAGCACGGATTCGACTCGTTGAGCTGGTGACCACCGCTCTGAGGCTAATTCGCCGGACATTTCATCCTCGCCGGGCGCGTGAAGGATGGATATGCAGAGCTTGCCGTCTTTGTAGATGTTTGGGTGGTAGAGGGGGCGGATGAAGCGGAATTCTGGAAATTGAGATTGTATGTTAGTCATGCTGTTTTGTCTTTCTGTCTCGTCTGCCACATCCAAGGGCGAAAAAAAGGGGTGGGGGTGGTGTGATGAGGGGAGTGTGTCGGGAGGGGCGCTCGTGAACTGACCTGGCGGGGAGTAAGGGTAGTTACTCGGGAACTTCATGATCGCCTTGAAGTAGCCGCCATAGTAAAGAGAATCCGGATTCAGAACGATTAACCCGATCGTCCAGTGTAGGAGGTTTTGCTCGTCGACCTGGAAGGGATGTCGGTCAGCATTCTCGGTGTGACATGAATGTGGTCTGCGATGGGACACATGACGCGGTGGTCTCTGATGTATGACCAAAAGTAGAGTAATATTCAGGAAGATATACATACATCGATATTTACCCAGGGCTCTTGTGATAGCGTCTTATATTCGTTCATTAAAATGCGTTCCGCCATGGTGATGGTCTAACAGGGGCGAACGATCGCGTGCCGTCGTTAAGCAACGATGGTGGCTAGACTGATGGCCCAAAGGGTCGATATTTGACTCGGCAGTCGAGATAACGGTTGTCGGTCGTCCTTTCCTCTTGTTCCCCTCTTGAAGTCGAAGTGATCAGGGCTGGATAGGCGCTGGATCAGGACGAGATCAATGGGTTTAAAAGTGGTTGATGATCACACACTAGTCCCGCTGTGGCAATCCATGGCATCCACGCGCAGCGGAAGGGCCCGGGGTGGCGTTCCGAAAGAAAGCATTTTGCAGCAGAATCTGAATCTTCCTTGTGTTAATTAATCAATCCTTGCCATTGTGGCTATCAATCTATGGTAGTTGCTCGGGTGTTGAATCTTAAGATAAACAGGGCCAGGAAGAAAGGAGCCAGAGAGTCCTTGTCTTCCACAGGATTGTTCATTATTCCTTCTTTCTTGTCCCGCGTAGCCGACGGTGGGGGGAAGAACCCAGCAAAGTGGGGAATACCCCTTCAATAGAATGAGAATAGTTCATGCCGTTGAAACTCTTGCCCCATTCAGCATGGAGTGTTGATGTCGGCTCCAACCGTTATAATAAGGTACTATATAAGAGACAACGAACTTTAATCGGATAAGACAAGGGAGATCCTATCAGCATCAACACCTTCTGCAACAGAAGGATTGTTCCGGCCGTTGAGGCCTACTTTTCCCTTTGCTGACCAATTCAAACTCTACGCGGTTTAGCTGCCTTGCGTGCTTATCTCGGAATACCCGCATCTGAAATAGGCCGGCTAGCCAGAGACACTTTACGGGCGTTATCGCGCATTGGGCGACTAAATTGGCTCATTGTCTCACAGGCTCCAGCGTCAGACTAATGAAAAGCAAGGCCGTCAAGTGATCAAAGACTGCGACCGCTTCTTCTCCGACCATTTGACATCTGACTCATCGGAATCCTGAAAGCTCATAGGCAGAAGGATGACGAATTAGTCCGTTAGATGGCAACAAAGGGCTGACTTGCTTGAAGTTGAGTCGGTGTGACGGGCAAGGGGCATGCAGGATGCACAGACTCTCTCAAACACCCTAGGGCGTACATCTCGATGTTTCTTGGACCCCTCTCTCCCTCATTGAGTCACTGACAGGGTGTTGAACGCGAGGTGGAAGGCCTGGATGGCGTTGGTCATGCGGATCAGCCATTTTCTGCAGGCTGGCGTACAAGCGTGATTGGATTTTGGGAATGTTGCGAAGAGATACATTGGCACGTCAAGTCATCTTTCCACCCTTAGGAGCATATACTACATTGTCCAGTCATTAAAAAGCAACCCCGACCCTGTCTCCGCAACGTGGGCTTGGGGTGGGACGGATCGCCAACCAAGGGAGGAAGGGCCCTGTTCTGTGATACTCCTTCACGGTAGAGTCGCCCACTCCACACATCTCGTAAGTTGGATCGTTTCCAGTCGAATGGTGCCGGGTAGAAGATCGAAGGATGGCTGTCCTCCGTGTAGGTAGCAGCAGATCGAGTGTCATGAGGGGAGGGTTGATGAGCCAAGCGTCAGAAATGAACCGGACTGTTTGTTAGTGCAGGGAGGTGTTCTCCGAGATACACTAGGCTCCAAAAGTAGGCCATTAGTATCAGTCATGGAATGGAGGTGACTCAGGGTGATATCAGGGACGATAAGCACGAGTCACCTTCAGATTTCTCGCTAACCGGCAAAGAAGACCAATGGATCGAGAGGAATAATAAGAAAATAAGAATTGACTCCAGCGAGGTAGCCAGTCGAGCTCCGCCGGGGAGGTCTGGAATCCTTCTGGCTGCGGGCGGTGGATGCGAGAAGGCGACGAGAGCCCACCCGAACTAAACCAGAGTGAGTTCCCGCTCTAGCTTACTTTCTGTTAGGTTGCCAAACCGGCGCGAGTTCCCACTCGTCATCGCTTTGCTGCTGCTGCTGCTGCTTCTTCTTTCTTCCTCTTTTACTTCTTCTATCTCCCCTCCTTCATTCTCTCTCCCTTTTCTTTTTTTTATTTTCCCCTCTCCTTTTGTTCCGACCCTCGTGCTGGCTTTGACTGCATGTGGTGTATGCCAACTTTTCACTCCCGGCATTCTTGGTAGTGTCCCTCAGTCCCCGTCGGGCCTTGGGTTCGTCTGCCTTTTTCTTTTCCTCCTCTCCGCCTATCACCTTGGCGATGCTAGGCTTGCCCTGCATCTATAGTCCGGGTAGCAACCACCAGAGTATCTAGGCGTGAAAACCTTTAGAAATTCGATTGGATTTCTCATTACCACCCCACCAGTCTGTCGACTGGTCCTGAGTTAGGAGCGCATGCTGTTCCTAAGCTTTGGTGTTCTCAACTACTTCTTATCCGCCCACCAGCCATGGCGGTCGACTGCCACGGGCCCATTTGGGCTATCGATGATGTTTCCCGTTGTTTCCAACGCAAGTACGTCAACTATGTCGCTGCTACCAATGTCCTTAACCCCCGAGATTCGCCGGCTAACGTATAACTGTCAATTGTAGCTATCTCCAAGTAATATTTCCACTCACGGCCTGCGGGCTCTCATTACTATTCGTCATTTTTCGCGTCGCATACCAATGTACCGTTTCTCGAAAAAGCGTCTCCTACAAGTTACTGGATCACAATGCGGCTGAAGGCGACACACAGGTTGCAACCTTTGATGATGAAGGGGAGGAAAGCGACCTAATGCTCAGCAAAGCGGCACAATCAGAGTTACCGACATTCGAAGTTGATCGTCCCCGTGGAGAAATCGCAACTCTAACGTTGGAGATCCTTGCGCTCGTAGGAGAAGTAGCCGTCTTCGTGGCTGTCCTTTCCACAGGCGCTTGGGGTCGCCAGGGTACTCTTCCCGCCATCGCCAAGCTCGTTTCCTGGGGCTACATATTGTTCCTGGCATTGGTTAGATTGCTGCTGTCGACATTCGACCTCCATTCATCTCCCAGGCTGTGGAACCATACGGCATCTTTGTACGGACTGCAATGGGTTTTCACCGTTTTCGTGTTTCGCTCCGCCGTTATCCACCCTTTGTCGAATCGCGCCATGATCTTCAGCTCCATTGAATTTGGCTTGTCCACTTTGCTTTTGCTCATCGCGGTCACTACCCGTAGAGGAAACAAAGTGGTTTTGGTGTCGCATGATGAGGGCCTGGAGCCTGCAAGACATCCCACAGCCAGCTTGTTCTCGCTGGCTACTTTTGCTTGGCTAGATCCCCTCATTCTCAAGGGCTACAGGCAGCCGCTGGAGCTCGAAGATGTCTGGGATCTGACAGCGTCTCAGAAAGCAGCCACAGTGTTAGAAGACTTCCGCCGTAGGAACTATCAGGGCTCACTGGTGTGGAAATTGTGTCGGTACTTCTACGGTACCCTCCTTCTCCAAGGTGCCTGGACCATCTTTTCGAACCTGTTCACCTACCTGCCCACCATCCTCCTCCGGGTACTTCTGCAATACGTGGAGGATCCAAGGTCGTCGACCGCAAACGCCGCGTGGCTCTATGCTATCTTACTGTTCTGCTCTGGGGCTATTCAGGGTATCGCCGATGGTCAGGCTCTCTGGATTGGACGCAAGCTGGGTGTCAAACTTCGGGCTATTATTATTGGCGAGATTTACGCGAAGGCCCTCAGGCGGAAAGCGGGTTCGACTGTAGAA